AGAACGAGTTGGTTAGATTGCATTCGCCACTGATCTTCCTTCCTGGTCTGCCCTGATTTGACGAGTTTGTTTAAGGTTGTTTGTATCTGATAGTATAATGTTTGGATAGAGTTTGTCGGGGGCCGTTAGTAAACTCGGTTATCTTTGAGGAAGTCCTTCGATGTTTTGGTGTAGTCCTTTCTGTTCATACGTGCAGCCGTTCTCGTCTGATCAGATGGAAGTCTGATAATTTTCTTTCTACAAATTAGTCTTTTTAGGGACTTTTTCTTCAGAACTCAGGTAGGTAAAGTAGTACGGCGTATTTCTTGCGGCGTTTCCTCATCTTCAGGACTTTAGTGATGACTCCACGCCAGAAAAGAAATCTATTAACTAAGTAATAAGTAGTACCGTAGCATAATCCTTTTTGAAATAATCACTATTCCAAGTTTGACAATGATGGTCAGTCTCAAATGGATCTTCATCTTCTAGTTTTCCTACAGCTTACTGAAACGAAATATGCTGCTGTGGTGCTGTAGGTTGGAAGATTGTTGTCTTTGGGTTTATTATCCTAAATGTCAGATAATATTATGACTTCCAGTGAATAAAACACTCAGAAGGTAAATTAACAGATGTTCTGTGTGTGTATTGAAGCTGGATTGCATTTGGTTTCCTTCTGTGATTGGATACCCTCTGTCTCTTCTCTGTTTTATTAACCACCCCCTGTTCTGCCTACTCCTTAACCTTTTGCACTCTGACCACAATAATACTATTACCAGATGTGCAATTTCGGGTTCGATATTTCAACTTTTAAGGCTAGTTGATGAACAAATAACATTCTTCTCGATAAATTCTTCACCGGGTTCTACATTTATTTTGCAGTAATAATTAAAGAAATACTGTTATTAGCAGGATCAATGTTTTAAATTATACTGGATCAATAGTATAGGAAAACTGCATTTCAAAAGCATCAGTGTAGTACAAAAGTGGGTATCAGATAAATTAATGGAAGTAATACAGAATTTACAGACTCGGGAACAGGGTAAGGTAACAGTAGTGACTGGTTGAACCTGTGTTTCTACACACAGAGGTTCATCTAATCTAAGGAAATTGCAATGGCCTCTGCTGTTCAGAGTCTTTGGTATCTAGAGGCCCTTGGTAATTTATTTGATACTCAGTGGATAATAGAGGAAGATTCTTCAGTGTAAACTTTGTGGTCTGCTTGCACCGGGTGGTACAATATAAAAGTGTTGAAGGTCTTAACAAAACCATTATTTATCCACATTGGTTGGCATTCCAGAGCACAAAATCTTTGGTTACAAGAACAACGATCAGTATATCTGGCTCCACATGGACAGTTGAACTGATAGATATAACTGGAAGTGGTTAACTTGGGCACTTGAGGTTTCAATTTCGGAATCACAACCGGTTTTGTGGGAAATATAAGCTGTAGCTTACGGGCATTAAAATTCTGCCAGTTCACAATATATAGTGCGATCGCCAGCCTAAGTCGTCGATACTTATCTGTTCTCATGTCCGACTTGGTGGACTCCACTGGTCATGACTTCCCACTTGAACTTTAAACGGCTTCATCCTATGGTCAGTCACTGATGAACACTCTACGCGCATGTACAAAAGTTGGAAATGATGGACCGTTGGATTCCGTCCCCGTGGTTGAGTGGTCAGTGAGCATGCGTCGTAATCCGTAGATCCTTGATTAGATCCTGTTTATTGGGGGATATTAGTGAGTAATTCTGAGGTGTTCAGTGCTACTTTGTTTTTAGTGGTTCTTTAACTGGAGTCACTTCATGATAAATCTTGAAATTATTCAAATCCTGGCAAACTAATAATTCCAGTACACCATCTAAGTAAGTTGACTTAGTTGGTCTGCTTCCAGCGAAGGATAACGGCCAAGTACTACTAACCAGGACAAAACAGCCAACTGACAAGTCTTCTTTGGTTTTCATTACTTCACTGGTTGTGAAGTGGGTATTATGTGACAATACTAATTTCTAAACCAATTTTGACACTTTTCACAAAGATGTTTCCGTGAAGGAAGTGATTTAAACTAGGTACTGGTTATCAAGTATTGGTCTGTAGGGATTTTGTTTGACTGGTTGAAGGATTTTATCATGAGCCGACATTGGCTCAACAGCAAGATAAGGGAGGTAGTGTGGGTGAGAAACAGCAGCTTGTAGTCAATCTTCAGGCCAGCCATAAAGGACTTCAGAGAAGTTTTAAATGGAAATGTGTTGTCCTCTCACAATCAGGGAAAGTTGTGACCTTTTAAGTCCAAACGATTTATCTTCAAGCAAATAAATTAAGGAAAATATGAAAACCACTTCTCTATTTCATACTCTTCTTTGTAATACTTTTTAGAAGTCTCCAAGACTGCCCTTAAACTTACATCTCTTCCTCACACCATAGCCTTCATATCACACTCGGACTGACGCGGAGATAGTCATTTTATTGAAATGGTTTTCACTATAGGGGCTTCATACGTGATCTCAATCAACAGTGTTCTCAGCTTTTGTCCAGTCCATCTTCACTTTCTTCGTTTGGGCTACATGTTGTTGGTTAGTTCTTTGCCTGTCAGAGTTCCTTGTTGCCTATCCTTTCTGATCCACCATCTGGTCTTCAGTATGGAGCGAAGGGGAAGGTGTTGATGAAAGTTCGCATCAACGCATTGGAAATGTTGTTTGTGATGCGCGTTACAAGTCCCTAATCCATATAGAAGCAGTGACTTGTTCCCTATGCTGAATACAGGATATTTCCACAATGATTTCAGGCTGATGAAAGTTTGTCTCACTTTCCGATCCCAACTGTCTTTTACATTCTTATCCGTGCCATCGCCTGTAATTGCGAAGATAAAACCTATAGATGAAAGAAATGGCTGCGTTTAAATTTGCCTCGTCGACAGTGATTGCTGCTTGTTCTCGCTGGCCAGGCATTTTTATACATTGCATTTTGACATGTATTTAGAAGAGATTTCCTTGTGTACGCACTCAAAGACACTAATGATTCAATTCACGTCAAGTCTGCTTCTTGATTGCTAGGTGTACGTGTTTCGCGTTATTATTGATTCATGAAGAAATTTTTCTATGGAGAAAAAGTCCTCGAATCCCTTCGATTTCGTTCACACAATTGTTGTTTTCTGTATTAAGTCAATCCGGAAAAAATGTTCAGCAACGAATGATTTGTAAACCATAGTCCCATGTATCATTCAGAAACTGTATAAATGCAACCACTTAACTTACGAAATAGAAAATTATAATTATGCCGTATGTTATAACAGCAAAACTAGCCTATTGATCAACAGGCACATAAGGACTTCCTTTTTCATTCGTTTGTGTTCTGAGTGGGGCAGAGGGCTTCATGCTTGGGCTCCGAAGTTTCAATAGTTGTGGTAGTGTTGTTTTACAAGGTGAATCTGTTAGCTTCACACCAAACCTTCCATCTCTACCGGGCTTACCAAAGTCTAGTAGACGAGAAGAGGTTTAGGAGTGCGTCGGCTGGGGATTGAACCTCAGACCGTGCGCATGTTTGGCAGACATTCTACCACTGAACCACCGATGCACAATTATGAGCATTACGGTTTTTCAAAATGAGATTATAAAGCATAATTTCAAGTAAATCTCATCTGAACAGCAAGAGCCTCTGGCATAATTTTCCTGTGAAAAAGGCACTTATTTTTGTGATCGAAAAATGGGATCTAAATGACGTTGTAAGACATGACAATATGTCGAAGATATGTAAAGGTTAGTCACCTTTGACCAAAGATGTTGTCGGTTCTCTATAAACTGTATTAAGTGGCGAAATCTGGCAAGCAATAATGAGGTTAGACGTAGAGTGTTAGGTTAGAAAGGTAAGTTAGTGGATGAGGTGATGAAGCTATATTAACTGAGATGGTTAGGACACGTGGCAAACATGCCCAGCCACCACCTTCCTTGACAAAGAATGTAAGCTGACACATTATTAGGTTGGAAAAGAGTCAGGTATCGTCAAATTAAAACATGGAGTCTATCCATGAAGTCTCTGACAGTTGATCTGAGCCATGTAGGGAGGTGTAGATTACCTGCATGGGATCCTCAGGCTATTAAGAACCAACGACTGCAAACTGATAACCGTATGACTTGGAATTGTTCTCTGTGGAGTAAATACATTCGCTTTGTGTAGTATCCAAGATCCACTAAAGCATCACTTTTTTTCAGCCCTACTATTCTTTCGTCCGTAAATTTCTGCTAATTGGGGTTCCTTTGGATTGCTTTTTTTCTCTCCCTTTGTGTGCTGTATGGAGTGTATCAAATTGAAATTCTCCACATCTGTGAAAATATTTTATGTTGAAAGTGAGTTGGTCAGTCAGTATCAATAAACCTTAATAAAGACACTGGAGATAGGAGTTATTTGCCGGTAAAGAATCATTTGCTGAGAAAAAAGATGTATGTATTATATTTCTGCATGTTTAACACAATAGGAAAATACGAAAAATCATTAAAACAGACAATTAATTAAGAAAATCGCTTAATAAATTTGGAATTCAAGTTTTACAAACAACAATTAGTTTAAGTTAAAACATTACAGCATTACCGTCTTCTCACGGACCTTACTGGTTGAGAAATAAACGATTAGTATTTTTTATTCACGGTTTTTACATCGTACAGTTTTATACTACTCATCAGTAGAGAGGTCTTAACTTAATTGTTTTCTTCATAGATTGAACGAAAGACTTGAGTAGACAATTAGTTGAATATTTCTGTAATATTAATATTAATTAATGGAAAAAAGAACTTAAAAGACAATAACGATATGATAGAATCTTGGAAAATGTAGAATTTCTATAGTAGGTGTGTATAAAAAAAGAATTTCAATCTACACGTATGAAATTAGAAAACAAAATCAAAGTCAAAATCGAATTCAGTAGAAATCACAAACTTAATGTATGTAACTAATCTGAATTAGAAATAATGAATCAATTAATCCACATATTTATATATATGTATGTGTATACTTGGTAAAATAATCTTCTACAGAAGGAATTTTTTGAGTAGTGAGCAATGCCAATCCAGAATATGCCTACAAAAACAAAATACTACTGTTTGTAAATAACTCTTTTATGCTTTTCATATATAGGCGACAAATATTTATAAGATTTCAGATATCTCTGGTTTTATTTTACCTGTAATATATATTTGCGTAGATTTCCGCCCGAAATTTCGTCAAATTCGTCGTGAAATTCCAGAAAAGAACTAAAGAAACTAGTAGAAATTGATAATCAGCTTGTAGTTTCATGTCTCAGAATAATTTCTGTTCACTCTTAGACTATGATTATTAATCCCATGAATTCCGAGTAGAACATAGGGCTTCAAGAGCACCTCCTTGATAAACTGTTCTCTGGAATCATCTTTATCTGGTTCGAATACCGCCCATAAGCCTTTATTTCCTTCTTACACGATCATCTCCATATCACCGTGCGACTCACGTCTGCCTCATCGTTTCTCACTCAGGTTCCACTCGATGGCCTGCCTTGAGAGTAATGTCACTATACGATCGCCCCAGAGCATGTCGAATCCATATACATTATCTCATACGTATATGTTACCAGTGAAAGTCAGATTAATTTTCAAGTGTTTGTCTGCGCGATTTATGCTGGAAATTACCTAGTGAGAATTAGTGGCCATTGGCGTCTACCAAGTCATCTAAGAGAACAGTTACTCGCCGTTGATATTGGCTGGCAGTCGTGCTATATATTGCAAACTGGTAGGAGCTAGAATTCACTGGCTGACCTCTGGATTCCGTCCTATTGGCTGAATGATCAATGGAGTCATCTCGTAATCTGAAGGTTCTGGGTTCGATCCGTGGTATGGTGGGTCGGGGTTGTGTACTTCTGCACAGCCCCAAAAAACAGTACTTCCCAGTTTGCAGTGGTTCTCAAACTCATATAACCTAGTGATCAAACCTGTAATAAATAAATTCCCTGCAAATCAACACTTGAAACTAACAGTTTGTACTTCCAGTCGAAGCTGTTAATGACTGTAACAATACTAGAAGCTCTTCTTTGAACAACACTGGTTGTCATAATATTTGGAAACGATCATCTGTATGCAGTGTGTTGTAAATATTGCCTTCAACTGATTTCAGCTTGAATATGATTTATTTACTTCCAGTAGGTAAGTACGACAAAAAATTTCAATCATATCTGTTCATATATTCATTCCTTTGGGTTTCTAGTAAAGCAGAAGTTCTCTAGCTTCAGTTTATTTTCTCTTTAATGGGGTTGCTAGTCTCACATGCAACCTTCCCTCTCTTTTGGGTTTACTAACAGTTAAACAAGGTTTAGGGGTGTTTCTGCCGGGAATCGAACCAAGGCTACATGAGCTGTTGGCTAACATCTTGGACCACTGAACTACCGACACACTGTGCATTTGTACATATAAATTTAAAAATATACTGCAGTGATAATTATTATTATTGTTTCCTTCAATTCCTAGATGAACATAGGGCTTCAGCTGCACGTTTCCACTGCCTTTGGTTCTCTGCTAACGTTTTCACCTGGCTCCACGTCTGCCGACATGCTTTTATCTCCTCTTTGCAGCACATCCTCCATGTCACCGTAGCACTGACGACCAACTCGCCACTTCCCATTCGGGTTTCACTCGAGGGCCTGTCGTGTGATGTCACTTGATGGTTTTCTCAGTGTGGCCAGTCCGCCTCCATTTCTTCCTGCTTATTTGTTGCACAATGGTTTCCTGCTAGGTTGGTTTGCTCCCAGAGATCCCTGTTGCTGACCTTTTATGGCCGGCCATCTGATCTTGAGTAGTGAGTGAAGACAGCTGTTGATGAAAGTCTGCAGTTTGTTCGAAGTGCCCTTCGTGACGCACCGAATGTCTGATCCGTATAGTAAGTAGCATTGAATTCACATTGGAGTCGAAAATTCGCAACAAAGTTTGCTAAAATAAATATATATTTATACTTCCCTATCATCAACAGATGAACAATAAACCTTCAGAAATTTCTTGTTTGCTTAAATCAGTTAATAAGTGTTGAGGTGGAAGCGTTTTTCTTCTCCTTAATTGGACTAATGAAACAATGATTATCAGTGTGTGTGTGTGTGTAAATGTAATGCTTTTCTTTGACGAGAATAGTATCTGGTTCTGTGGAAATCCTAATACTGAAACATCACTTTCTATTATTACGTCACTTGGCTTTCCTTACCAAAAATTACAAGTTAATTGACAGTAGGAGTGTCTTATAGTGTTAAGCTTTACTGCTAAAACACTTGAGTTAACGCTCAGACCAACTGTTTGACGACGAAAACCTAGACACAAAGTACTGTGCCTGAGTGACCTGCACACACGAACATACACAACACACAGAAGAAGCTTAATATACAGATTACCCATGAGCATCTGAGATGTTTTAGTGCTTGTTTTTTTCCTGAAAAGCTTAGTAACTTACTTTCTGGTGTTGTAATTAGTCTTTGAAACTCATTTAACGATAAACTTCATTACAAACTGTGATACACATTGGACAGTTGTTGGTAAATGATGGACACATGACTTTCAATGAAAATTTCAATGAAGGATATATGAACAGTCTTGGCTGTGAACACTGTAAAGTGATTACAACTGATCGACTTAGAAAGTGCATTGAATACTCTCTTGTCGAATAGTTGTAAATTTTTATACCTGCAAACATCATTTAGGCTAGTCCGAAACTCCAGACCTTCCGATCAATGAAACGTATAATTATCCGACCCTCAGGCAAGTTAGGAGCCTCAGTATATCAACAAATTCATATTAAAGCATTATGCATAAGTTGTGTGATAGATGTTCTTCACAAAAAGTAAAATGATTTTGTCATGCTCTAGTGTGTGATTAGTATGAATACAGGAGTTATGTAAAGCTAAAATCTTGTGCTACCACACTGGTAGTTCAGTGGTACAATGTCTATCAAGCACGAACATGTTCTGAGGAAGACTGCCAGCTGACATACTACTAAACTTCTGTTAAATAATAGTAAACTCAGTAAAGATGGAAGGTTTGGCGTGAGGCTAGCGAACCCACTCCGTAACAGACAACACCACTACAGGTACTGAAGCTTCAAAGCTGAATCTTGGAGCTGTATGTTCTACTCAGAAGGGGAAAGAAAGAAAAAGCCTGTAGTAGTGAATCAAACCTGTAAATCTTTTTGATTAGGTTGCATATAATGATATCTAAGAAATTTATGTTAGAATGAATATCTAGTTCCTATTGCAGCTTTTCATGTTTGGGTAGACTAATAGGGGGCGGCAAATGATTTCGTTATTTTCAAGTGTTAGTTTGTAGGCATTTGATTGGTTTCAAGTATCATCAACAACTGACATCAGTCAGAGAACCACTGAAAACCACTGAGTACTGAAAGGCTCATTTGTGGTGGTCTGAGACTTCTCACCAACACGCACCTCCGGCCCAGAGACCAAACGCAGGACCTTTAGGTTAGAGAGCAAGCGCGTAGACCGTTGAACAACTGGGATGGAATCCAGTCGTCGATCTATGAATTCCGGTTGCTGTCAATTCGTGGTTTACAGTGATGTTGCCAGCAAATGGCATCGGCGGGCATTTGTCCTCACACTCGACCTGGTGGTTACTCCAGTGTTTATAACTTCTCATTAGAATCTTGGGTAACTTCATCCTTAACTAAGACAAAGCAGATGTCCAGTGCTCCATAGTTTTCACCTGTTCTCTAACTAATATCAATCTGTGATAAAAAATGATTTTATTATTGCACGACAAACTGCACAGATTTATAAACATTGTTCATCAATACCGTTAGGTTGCTAATTACTAAAATATGGAAAATAAATTTCTGTGACCATTTTATCTAAGTTGATTCATTTCAGAAGTCTTCAAAATACACCGATGGGTAGATGATGGTTAACGTCAAAAATAAGGGAAGGATGAGTGTGGTGTTAACAACCCACTACAGTGAAATCCAATGACCCATAGCTTCTAACTTCCATCGATTCGCTAGTTTTAGCGCCACCGCCTGCCAATGTTGTCAGTAAGTATTTATCTTCATACGCGCTCGGTGAATTCCACTTATGGGAAATTCTCAGTAGAACTTCAAGCATATTCATCTTGTAGCCAGTCAGTAGTGAGTACTAGAGGGGTTATGGGTGCGTACTGATAAAGAACCTCACACAAGGATGAAAGAGCTGTCCAGTACCTCCAGCCATTTTTCAATGATTCTCTAATTTAAATCAGCTCGTGATCAATCTTGAAATCAATCAAATCCCTGAGAACCAAAACTTTAAGACCTGCTTTGTTGTAAAATGTTCAGAACTGTTGTTGTTGTTATTGTTTTTTTAAAAGTCCACTGTTTATGACCACAGAGAGAAGAAAACTATAAACAAACTTCTGAAAAAAACAATGGAACGCTGGTTAGTTTTCTGGTCTGATTTTCAGTCTGTGATATTTTTTTACTAATAAAACTGGTTTTGAAACTAAAAAAGTTATGTAAAAACAATTCTGTATTCACTTATAAGTTTTTCCGTATACGGTCTTGCAGATATTGTTTGGAATTCAGTGGTTTTGATACGTCTAAAACTTTTAAAAGGACAGTGCATGTCATGTTGTCAACATATTATGACATCTTTTGACCGGTAGAACATGTTAATAGCACGAATCAGTGGTTGTGTGTATAACGTCAGCAGTTATGGTATACTGACGAGAGGATATATAAATATATATTCTCCAGAGTTATTAGTACACAAATACTGCATGCAACTATGGGACAGTTAGTTATTTATGTTTTAAATATTATTAAATACAGTAGGAATATGTATACAATGAGTTCTATAATGATTTGTAACTAATAAAGTAATGTAATATCCCGAAAGACAGTGATCACTACTGAGATGTTTTCCATTTTCATGGATATAACGTACAGAAATAGGTTTTATGGACAAAGTCCAAATTCAGACACACTAAAGACGCGAACGGACCAATAACCTCAGAAACAGCCAATGAGCTGAAAAGTAAACTCGGTTCCTTAACTTTGTCCTCACTCTAATCCATCCTTAGCCAACACCTATATCTCCCTAAGTAGGTTGACATAGCCGTAACTGATCCTAGACTAAACCTAACCCTAATCTTTACCTAGCCTAGCCTAAAACTAACGAGGTATCCTGTTTAATATCATTAGACTTCAATCAACACTTTTTTCATGAATATAGTGTTATTTACTTAGTTTCTCTGCTTTGTTGTGGCTGAGCATTCTCAGGTCTAGAGTTTAACTTTGCTGTCTTATGTATTAGAAATACACATTTGTCATTTGTGTACACATTTGAATATTTGAAACAAATCAATGAAGTCAAATACTTCACTCTATGGAGTAAGTGTTTATATATTACACTATACACAATATTTTCATTTTGAGTCTCACGGCTATCTTTTGTAAACTGGAGTCAGAAACTGAGATTTTACGAGTCCTTCACGAAGAAGAACTAATTGCATATTGGATTGTGTAACTAACAAAATCGTAGAGTGGTAATGTTTTTTCTCTCTAAATGGTCTGTGAACAAAAGTTTGCTGTCGCTTAGTGCTTTCAACATTTGGAAAAAAACAATTGACTGAAAAAATATTTGATCCTAGTTACGTCTTTGAATTCAATGTATTACCAGTTTGACGAAGTAGCTAACCATTCCACTGGTGATTTGAAGTGATTCAGTTCTCCGAGCTAAGCCAAACTGGGCAGACACGCTGATGAGCTCAACTCCAAACCAGTGCGACGAATATCGGGTGTTCATATAACCTCAATCTGTCTAGTAAGTACTACTGTTCAATGTGAACGGTATCCAGATACTCATATCAATAAGTCAGTGGTATGTACAATTGTGTAACCCTCATTTTTAAATTCTCATGATTTCATGATATAACTATTTTTACCCCAGTTATTGTTACAATAATTTCCCGGAAAATCAACAAGGTTGCTAGAGAAAATTTAAGGCACAGAAAAAATGTCAAAAATAAACTTGTCCTTCACTGGAACTGGAGATCCGAAATGACGCAGGGGCTGGTGAAAACCTTTGGGAAACCAGTCAGCCGATGTGTCTTCTCTCGATGAAAGCACAAATAAGCATGAGGACACAGAATGCCCAAACGATGCTCGAAATTAAGAAGGCCATTCGGATTGTCAAAAAATGAGAAGATATGATATAGAAGTGTTCTGAATCTTTTAGAGCAGTTGGAATGGTAGTGGACTTTCTGAATTTTTAACTGGAGAGTAAATAGTCTACTCCAGTCATCCAAAGAACAACCACAAGCACACTGAGAAACTGGCAACCATAATGTCATAAACAGTATCAAAAGCTCTTATGTATTGGGACCCGGTCTCCTCTGGAATAATGACAGCACTGATATCAAGTCACTCAGTGCTTCCATATGGTTCAGAGAATCGGTGTATCACCAACATCTACTGAGTTCTTCGCATACTGAAAATCAGATGGTGAGTTGGATTGGATAAGCAAAAAGAGCTTTGTCAACGAAGCAACCAGCAATCTTTTGCCCAAGAAATACGCAGGACAAAACAGTGATGGATTGGACACATGGTGAGGAGACCATTGAGTGATATCATGCCCTAAGCCTTTGACTTCATCACGGATGGAAAACGGCGAGTTGTACGTGAGTCCAAATGTGACATGGAGGAGATCGTGTGATTAGGAGATGACAGCTTACGGGCAATCCTGGAGCCAGCTGAAATAGGACTGCAGAGAAGAAGAATAAATTGAGATGTTCTGTTGAAGCTGTATGTTCCACTTGGAACATAAAGGTATGATAATAAATTACTGCTCCTTTGACATTTTGGTACTGATGACCTACTGTCAATAGACTTATTACCACGTGATTTGTAAATTATGTTTAACCATCAAGTAGACACAATACATTAAAATCAGTGGCTAAATGTTAGTTCAACAAACAGGTAAGTTAAAAATGACGAAAGAAGAATACATCATAAGGCATACAACCAATCAATATAAACATACACCTACAAATATATATACATATATATATGTCAAAATGAAAAACGTAATCGTCACAAAACTTCGCAATTTTCTCACCTCTTCAATTTAATATTATTGATTCTGTTGTGGTGGTAACGGTGGCATAGTTGGATTACGCGGAGTTGTGGATCTTCCACCTACTACAGGAATATTATAAACTGGAGGAGGTGTACCTACTGGTGGTGCAGCTGTACTAAGTGAAGCAATTTCATAGCTGGGATAAGTTTTACTTGAATCCGGTACAATTCCAACATTCTGTTTTGGCTTTACCATATCATCAGTTTTGTACTTTGAATGGCTTACAGCATTAACTGATGGCTCTGCTAAGAAACACAAAAAAAATTAATTAAAAAGTAATATTTATGTATAAGGCAGATATAGACATGTACCATACTACGTCTGTCGTTCAGTAATAGAATGCTTGCCAATTGCATCACATGTGGTGTGGAGTTCGATTCCTGGCCCAAGCATCGCTAACATGTGGCTCTCCCGGTAGTAGTAAGCCTGGTAAGGCAAGAACGCAAGGTGTGAAGCTAGCAACCCCACTGTGCAAAAAAACTCAAGATTGAAGCCCTAGGTTTCTCTCTGAACGCAAAGGAATACAAAAACACATACTACAGTTTGAAACAAATGGTTTTTGAAAGGAAGTGACTTGATTTGTTCATATCTGTTTATCTAAAAAGTCATTCAATTTTTGTGTATCAATTATCATTGTAAATAATTATAACCATTTTTCTATACTTCCATCGACGGTAATCTCCAGAACGAGAGTGTGGCATTTGTCCTGCATTTATGAAATTACCGTCATTCATTCAGAAGTGTGAATGCACAAGATGCCATTAGCCTCAAGTTTTCTGGTACTAATACTGTCAATGTGCTTAAATTCGATTTGTCCCTTGTCTTAAGATCTCACCAAGCAAGTAAACATCTTCTTCTGATCTGAATTAGAGGATAATAAGACCCATTTGTGCATAAGTAATGGCAGTTATGATGATGGTATCAGTGATGACACGCAGTGTCAAACACAATCTTATATAAGCGATACAGTAGATAATAATCTAGATAACTGAAATGATACGGAAACTTACTGAATAGATACATCTTTTATTTATTTGCTGAGTTGTTGGACAACACACAAAATATATGGGTTGAAGAAATAATATTCTGAGGCTATTTTCATTTTAAAATGTAAACTTATATCCTCACATTTCGACTAGGTAGCATTTGTTTTTTCATTCCTTTGATTTCTGAGTGGAACATAAGACTGCAGGCTTTAAGCTTCGCAGTTCCAGGAGCTCCTCTCTTCTTATGGGGTAAGCCTCATGCCTAACCTTACCATTTTTTTAGATTTACTACCGGCTAGGTGGAGTTTGGAAGTGTGTTGACCGGGAATCGAACCATGTGTAATGTATCAAGTGAAATAATAATCAAAAAACTCAGAAAACTGATTCGAAGAACTTTTAATACTGATAAGAAGCAAATCACATTTCACACACGATCCGTTGTGACTTCTTAATTAAAAGATAAAGTAACTATGTCAGTCGCCTCTTCTTGTACCTATCAGCTCAACTACCCCTGTGGAGCAAGTTATATTGACTGTTGCTCTAAAAAACCCAGCTTTTCGTGCTCGGGATATTCGACCATCTCGTCTAAATCTAGTGTTGAAGAATCTTTTCCTGTTCTCCATCGAGTTACGAATAAAGTGCCAAAGAACTCTGGGCGCTAAATGCTCTGAACAGCAAGGGCCATTGCACTCCGCTTAAGACAACCTGAACTCTGTGTACAAAAGAGACAGATTTAGTTATTATTTCAACTCTGACCCTATGTGAAACCTATAAATTCGTAAATTCTCTATTATTTTTCTTAATTTACCCAATACTCATTTCAGTCTTATATTTATTCCTATCATAGCATGCGCATATTTTGACCTTCAGTGAATGTCATTTAAAAAAACATTAATGTTGACGATAACCACAATAATTCTTTAACTATTATGCATATATAACTGCAGGACCTGATGAAGTCATTGTTTGTTCACCAATTATTCTTTCCAGTGTTTCCTAATACTTCATGTGGTTCTGATGTAAACTGATGTACAAACAGTTTGAAACCAGATGTCCGCTATCATTTGAATAATTCAGACTTACGGGTTTGTTTATTTCGTCGTTTTCTTCGATAATGATAGACGAGTAAAACTACGACAACTACGATTGACAATGTAATCAGAACAACAGCTATTGGGATTGCGAATTCTTTTCTGAATTTTGGATGACTGTAAAACAGTAAAACAAACGAGAAAAAATATGTTGGTAAGGTACACTAGATGGACATATATGTTTGACTATTTCTTAAACAACAGAATCCAGGGAGAATCCAAAGGGGTAAAGTGAAGTGAGGGAAACGGGAAAATAGGCACTTTTGAACGGATGAGACGCTGATAACAGGTGGGTAAAATACAACATAAAATACACACTTTCCCCATGTTGCTACTCATTATTTTCCCTTTCCTCATTTTGTCAAAACATTTTTTACCCATTTTTCCATGATTTCCCCACGTTTTCAGAAGATAGATTATTCACATTTTTGAATTTCACTCGCGTTTTTGAAAAGAACTAGCCACTATTACCCACGTGACGTATGCCACCTACTTTATTTCCAGAAATATCCCACTCTTTCCCACTTTGCCCAATGAAACGCTATGTTTTTACCCAGTTTACCTATGTTCACAAAAAATTCTGTTTTTTTTTCTGTGTGAAACTATAGTTTCGAAACTTATCCCTTTCAGCTGTATGTACAAAACTAAGGTCTAACTTAAGATCCTTCGAAGCTCAGTGTTGAATGTCTTTGACTAATCCTTCACTTAATAAGTTTTTCTGTCTAAGTTTGAACTTTTCAGAAACTCCTCTGTTTCATGATATTATTAATTAACCACTTTTTAACATTCGTTATATGTTTCTTTGTAAACGTTTAGAATTGTTCTTATGATGACTGACATATATGAGCAACCTTAAAAACTGTTTCAGTCTATCTGTTTCACTTGTTCTACTAATTAGAGCTGATTTAGTGCTGATCTAGATGATTACACTCTGTCCTTACTTTAGTTTATGAGTCTCTATGAATTTCACTAGTTGCTAATCCATACTTTTTTCTGTTATTATTATTCCCCCGGGCTACGTGGAACATAGGGATTTAACAGCACATCCCCATTTCTTTTTTTAATTATAGCTTGATTTCACACAGTATTTTGGTACAAGTACGGAATTTCCAGCATGTGATATCGGCAGCCCAAATTTAACAGACGGACCATTGATATCAGGTGTGTGTCAGTCGGGAGTTGAACTCCGGCCCATGTGCATGGTTGGCGAGCATTCTACCGCTGTGCCACTGACGCATCCCGTTCTATGCAGTCCTCTTTAGCTGGCTGAGAAATTCCTCATAAGCTTTCATCTCCTCCTCACACGATCTAATTCATGCCAACCTTAGACCCATATCCAGCTCGTCGTTTCCCATTCGGGTTTCACTCGAGGCTTTGCCTGCCGTTTGATGTCACTGAATGCTCTGCTCAGCGTGTTTCCAGTCCATCTCCACCTCCTTCGGTTATTTGTTGGGCAATAGGTTACTGGTTAGTTTGTTGTTTGCCAGAGTTGTTTGCTATTTATCCTTTACATCTGGCTTTCTAATTTTCAGTATCAAAACGGTGAAGGCAGCCGTCGATAAAAGTCTATAGCAGGCTGTTGGAAATGTTTTTGGTGAAGTTAGCACTAATTCTCTGGAGCATATAGAAGTACTAAATGACTTAACATTATTCGGATCTCATTTCTTATACTGAGTGCAATGGATTTCCAGACTGATTTCAGAGTAATGAAGTTCTGACTTGCTTTTCTGATCCTGATTGGTTTTATCACCCTCAATTGTGACGAATACTTTTTATAAAACAATATCAATTACAGAACCATATAAAACTTTAAAATTATTCATGTGTGAACAGTAACATGTTCGCTTCCAGTTTTGATGCTCGTGAGTTTGAGACTGCAAACATTCACCCCACGGAAAGTCAAAAAATTAGAATGAAATGGCTGCTGAATTGTAAGTGTTTGTCATCATCATTGACTGTTTAAATGTGATTTCGAGTCGTGAAGAAATACATGTTATCACTGTTGCTTTTAGAAATTAACTAAAAGTGTTTTCAATGTAGGTTTCGTCACGAACCAAAGTCAGTTAGAGATCAGGCAGCACTAGACAGCTCGTAACAAAATCTACACTGAAATTAATCAAAATTTCTACAAAATTCACATTATCTAACTATGAATCACCAGTTCACTGGTAGCTACTACGCGGTTGTCCTAAAGCTGTATTGAGAAGTAGAGGCAATGGAGCACACCATGTCAAGGTGAAGTGAATACTCATCAAAGGGATTGGTTGTGCGTATCTCTATATCAGAAGTTGACAGAAGTCGGGATTCACGGGCTACTGAATTCTTACCCAACTGGCTGAATGGTCAGCAAGATTGATGTGGTAATGTGAAGGTTCATGGTTTGATCCACGGTGTGGAAGTGGGTGATCACTGCTGAAGAGTCTCAGTGTTTTCGGCTTGTTTTCTCTCTAACTGATTTTGGTTCATGAAGAAATTTACATTGAGATTAATTCATGCCATTACAAAATCCCATTATCTTAATATATATATATATATATATATATATAGTTTTCATTGCAACGTCAATAAACTCATATTTTAATCAACTAATTTGAAATTCATTTAAATATACTCAATTGTTGCTGTGTTCATGAAATGACGTCAGTTAAATAAAAAAACAAGGATTCTATCTTAGAAACAAACACTTGATAAGAAAGACAGTTTATTAGAAGCTACACTAATGAATGCTGAAAATTGATCACATTAACTTATCTTATGGTTACTTTTTATTGATCAGTAGAATTTTGTCTGTCATTGTTGATGATGAATTATCTTCACTGTATTTTTGATAATAATAATAATAATTTTAACAGCACATGTACAGCGGATTGACTACTAGGAAACAGAATATTAAAATAATGTCTGTGAGCTGATGACGATAGGAGTCATAGTTATTTGCATTTTAATCTACTTTTCACTCACGAGAACTGAGTTCTCTAAACTAATTCTAAGGTTTAGTTACTATAAATGACGGTTAACAGGTTTAAAACACATGGAAGTATAGTTTTCAGCAATTTTGTACAAAATCCATTTGAACTACTGAAGTACCACAGTTTTTCTAATGAAGACATCATTATCCCTTGAGATTTTATCTATTCAAAATGTTATCAAGTATTGGTTTGTGGGAATTCGACTAGTTAGAAGTTCGATCACGAACTGACACCAGTCAAAGAACCACTGAAAATCACCATGGATTACTGAACATTAGCTTTATTTTTGTGTGGCAGTACTAGCCCATTACCTTCAGATCACTAGGTGAACTCGTTGACCCTTTAACAACTGGGATAGAATCCAGTAGCCGGTCTATGAATTCTAACTTCTGTCATTCCGTGATACACAGAACCACAACCAGCCAGTATCACCGGTGAGTATTTGTCCTCACACCAGACCTGGTGGACACCACTGTTTACGATTTCCCACAGTAATTCCAGGCATATTAGTGTTGTAGTCAGTCATTTGTGGGCATAAGATTAATTTCCAAGTGTTAGTTTGAAGAGATCTGATTAGTTTCAAGAGTGATAGCGAAATGACCTCAGGTGGGAAACCATCGGAAACCAGAGAGTAATGGACAGCTGTTCCATCCTTGTTTGAGATTGTCTCGCAGTACGCTCCCATGACTCCACTAGGGAAAATTTATTTTACAGCCTATAATGATCCAGTTAAAGTGACTACTAATAAGATCATTACCATTTTTCATAGAAAGAATTTGCAATGGCTGCAGACTTTCATCAAAAGCTGCACCCTTTGCTCCATACTGAGGATCAGATGGTCAGTTAAAAAGGATAAGCGACAAGGAACTCCGGCATCGAACCAAACGGGAACTTATCGTCCAAAAACATCGCGAAGGTGATGGAGACGGATTAAAATACGCTGAGGAGGCTATTGAGTGACATCAAAACGACGGAACCGGAATGGGAAATGACGAGATGGGCAAGAGTCTGAGTGTGAAATGGAGGAGATCGCTGTAGAGATGAGTGCTAATGGGCATTTTCGAAACCTGTTAAAAACGACTGTATAGAACGAGATGAAGTGAAAATGTGCTGCTGAAGCTGTATGTTCCACTCGGAACCCAAGGGAATGATAATAATACAATGCTTAGCTTCAATGGTTACATTACTGCCGTCAGTATATCAACATTACAATCTTACATCAAACTTCATACCTATTGTAGTACGAATTAGAATTTCAAATGTAACTGCCTATCAGTTAGAATGACGAACATTTTATTCTTAATGGAAAGACTTATTTCAAATTATTTGTCAGAATGAGGGAAATGAAATATCTATTTAAAATTCGAAAGTCAATAAGATTTGATCAAATTCTCAATTGGGAGAATCATTTGAGATTCTCAAATTACACAGTTTGAGGAGGTGAAATTTCACCACGGTTTACTTCCTTGGGAAACCCATATTATCCAAGAAACAATATGTCATCTGTTGGATACCAAAACAGCAATCAAGAAAGTAGGCATAGATACGTGGTGGTATAAACTACTGATTGACTGAGACGAGTAGTTATACACCATTCACATCAACCAGTAGTGTTTGCTAGCCAGACAGAAGTCATCTAAATACTAGACGGCCGTTTCGGCCATTGGAAGCTTAGCTCAGCAGCAGCCTACCTGGTTTAAGTAAGCTCAGACAGCCGAATCAGTTCAAACCACCCGAATTCAGTAATATATATTAGGATATGAAATTATCATCTTAGTGTCATAAAATGTGAAGCTTCTTTTCTCCTATACATAATATTTGAAGTATTTTTGTATGTAGTCAACTAAATCTTTGCTTAAACAACCACCTCTGCTTACTGTATAAGTGTTCTTGTTCATACAGCATGAAATAGTAACAATTGTTGCTTTTTAGAATTTGTTTTACAGACTACTGAGAAATAAAGTGTGATTTACGAGTAAGTGGCACGCTTGTACCACGACACTTGTCTAAAGAGTTGTTATAAAAATTCCAACTTGATTTCATGTTGAGTTTCAAGTGGGCATTTTCTGAAATTACAAATGTTAAGCTAAATAATTATAAAGGAGATGTTTTCTCTTTTTCTTAGCCCACTTCATCAGAAATCTCACT